GCGTTTACACTTAAGTCTCACAGCCAATCACAGCAGTGGGCGTTTACACTTAAGTCTCACAGCCAATCAGAGCAGTGGGCGTTTACACTTAAGTCTCACAGCCAATCATAGCAGTGGGAGTTTACACTTAAGTCTCACAGCCAATCACAGCAGTGGGCGTTTACACTGAAGTCTAACAGCCAATAATAGCAGTGGGCGTTTACACTGAAGTCTCACAGCCAATCACAGCAGTGGGCGTTTACACTTAAGTCTCACAGCCAATCACAGCAGTGGGCGTTTACACTGAAGTCTCACAGCCAATCACAGCAGTGGGCGTTTACACTTAAGTCTCACAGCCAATCACAGCAGTGGGCGTTTACACTTAAGTCTCACAGCCAATCACAGCAGTGGGCGTTTACACTTAAGTCTCACAGCCAATCATAGCAGTGGGCGTTTACACTTAAGTCTCAAGGCCAATCACAGCAGTGGGCGTTTACACTGAAGTCTCACAGCCAATAATAGCAGTGGGCGTTTACACTGAAGTCTAACAGCCAATCACAGCAGTGGGCGATTACACTTAAGTCTCAAGGCCAATCACAGCAGTGGGCGTTTACACTGAAGTCTCACAGCCAATAATAGCAGTGGGCGTTTACACTGAAGTCTCACAGCCAATCATAGCAGTGGGCGTTTACACTTAAGTCTCAAGGCCAATCACAGCAGTGGGCGTTTACACTGAAGTCTCACAGCCAATCACAGCAGTGGGCGTTTACACTTAAGTCTCACAGCCAATCACAGCAGTGGGCGTTTACACTTAAGTCTCACAGCCAATCACAGCAGTGGGCGTTTACACTTAAGTCTCACAGCCAATCATAGCAGTGGGAGTTTACACTTAAGTCTCACAGCCAATCACAGCAGTGGGCGTTTACACTGAAGTCTAACAGCCAATAATAGCAGTGGGCGTTTACACTGAAGTCTAACAGCCAATCACAGCAGTGGGCGATTACACTGAAGTCTAACAGCCAATCATAGCAGTGGGCGTTTACACTTAAGTCTAACAGCCAATCACAGCAGTGGGCGTTTACACTTAAGTCTCACAGCCAATCACAGCAGTGGGCGTTTACACTTAAGTCTCACAGCCAATCATAGCAGTGGGCGTTTACACTTAAGTCTCAAGGCCAATCACAGCAGTGGGAGTTTACACTGAAGTCTAACAGCCAATCACAGCAGTGGGCGATTACACTGAAGTCTAACAGCCAATCATAGCAGTGGGCGTTTACACTTAAGTCTAACAGCCAATCACAGCAGTGGGCGTTTACACTTAAGTCTCACAGCCAATCACAGCAGTGGGCGTTTACACTTAAGTCTCACAGCCAATCATAGCAGTGGGCGTTTACACTGAAGTCTAACAGCCAATCACAGCAGTGGGCGTTTACACTTAAGTCTCACAGCCAATCACAGCAGTGGGCGTTTACACTTAAGTCTCACAGCCAATCACAGGAGTGGGCGTTTACACTGAAGTCTAACAGCCAATCACAGCAGTGGGCGTTTACACTAGTCTCACAGCCAATCATAGCAGTGGGCGTTTACACTAGTCTCACAGCCAATCATAGCAGTGGGCGATTACACTTAAGTCTCACAGGCAATCACAGCAGTGGGCGTTTACACTTAAGTCTCACAGCCAATCATAGCAGTGGGCGATTACACTGAAGTCTAACAGCCAATCACAGCAGTGGGCGTTTACACTCAAGTCTCACAGCCAATCATAGCAGTGGGCGTTTACACTGAAGTCTAACAGCCAATCACAGCAGTGGGCGTTTACACTAGTCTCACAGCCAATCATAGCAGTGGGCGTTTACACTCAAGTCTCACAGCCAATCATAGCAGTGGGCGATTACACTGAAGTCTCACAGCCAATCACAGCAGTGGGGGTTTACACTGAAGTCTCACAGCCAATCACAGCAGTGGGCGTTTACACTGAAGTCTAACAGCCAATCACAGCAGTGGGCGTTTACACAAGTCTCACAGCCAATCACAGCAGTGGGCGTTTACACTCAAGTCTCACAGCCAATCATAGCAGTGGGCGTTTACACTGAAGTCTCACAGCCAATCACAGCAGTGGGCGTTTACACTCAAGTCTCACAGCCAATCATAGCAGTGGGCGTTTACACTGAAGTCTCACAGCCAATCACAGCAGTGGGCGTTTACACTTAAGTCTCACAGCCAATCACAGCAGTGGGCGTTTACACTGAAGTCTCACAGCCAATCACAGCAGTGGGCGTTTACACTCAAGTCTAACAGCCAATCACAGCAGTGGGCGTTTACACTCAAGTCTCACAGCCAATCACAGCAGTGGGCGTTTACACTCAAGTCTCACAGCCAATCACAGCAGTGGGCGTTTACACTCAAGTCTCACAGCCAATCACAGCAGTGGGCGTTTACACTCAAGTCTCACAGCCAATCACAGCAGTGGGCGTTTACACTCAAGTCTCACAGCCAATCACAGCAGTGGGCGTTTACACTGAAGTCTAACAGCCAATCAAAGCAGTGGGCGTTTACACTTAAGTCTCACAGCCAATCACAGCAGTGGGCGTTTACACTTAAGTCTCACAGCCAATCACAGCAGTGGGCGTTTACCCTTAAGTCTCACAGCCAATCACAGCAGTGGGCGTTTACACTGAAGTCTCACAGCCAATCACAGCAGTAGGCGTTTACACTGGAGTCTCACAGCCAATCACAGCAGTGGGCGTTTACACTGAAGTCTCACAGCCAATCACAGCAGTGGGCGTTTACACTGGAGTCTCACAGCCAATCACAGCAGTGGGCGTTTACACTGAAGTCTCACAGCCAATCACAGCAGTGGGCGTTTACCCTGAAGTCTCACAGCCAATCACAGCAGTGGGCGTTTACACTGGAGTCTCACACAGACACGCCCCTTTAAAAAGAGCATTCAAATCAGAGGCTAAAATCAGGCTAGGAAAAATGCCTTTTATTTCTAAATTATGACAATTTTTTATGTAAAATCATACTAACATTATAAAATAATAAAATAATCCAGTTCATGACCGCTTTCAAATATTTTGAGAGAGTGTTCACTGTTCCTCTCCTCACAACTGGGCAGGAAGTGCAGAGAAACCATGAAAACTGTGTGTGTGTGGCCTGGTAAACCCTACGTTATGGGGACAAAATGTCCCCACAAGGATGGCAATATCCGAAATCCTTGTTCGTGTGGGGACATTTTTTGGTCCCCATGAGGAAATCAGCTTATAAATCATACTAAGTGATGTTGTTTGAAAATGTAAAAATGCAGAATGTTTCCTGTGATGGGTAGGTTTAGGGATAGGGTTAGTGTAAGGGAATAGAATATACAGTCTGTACAGTATAAAAATCATTATGTCTATGGAAAGTCCCCATAAAACATGAAAACACAACATGTGTGTGTGTGTGTGTGTGTGTGTGTGTGTGTGAGAGTGAGTGTGTGTGAGAGTGTGTGTGAGTGTGTGAGAGTGTGTGAGAGCGAGTGTGTGTGTGTGTGTGTGTGTGAGAGCGAGTGTGTGTGTGTGTGTGTGTGTGTGAGAGCGAGTGTGTGTGTGTGTGTGTTACCTGCAGGTACGATCACTCTGCGTTCATTAGTGATCATGTTGGGCGGTGGAATGTGTTTTTCCTCCATGTAGTTGCTGTACATCACTGGAACATTCGCAACTGGAGAGATTTTTCCTTTCACCACAGGACAGTCATCAGGAGAACTTCTGCACACACACACACACACACACACACACACACATACACACACACACACGCACGGGTCAGATATGCATTTCCTGGAGGAAATATCAGTGTTCGCATGAAGAACTCGGGATGCAAATATTTTGCTTTCAGATACTGAGTGCTGAACTTTTTAAATCATGCAAGCCAATGTGAGATTATCAAACTATCAAACTAAAAATAACAAAAACAAAAACAGACTAAAATGAGCTACAAAAGCAAAAATACAGTTTTGGGGTCATTATGAACTTACAGTACATCCAGGAAGGACACATTAAAATGATCAAAAGTGACAGTAAAGACATTATAATGTTACAAAAGATTCTATTTCAGATAAATGCTGTTCTTTTGAACTTTCTATTCATCAAAGAATCATCATCAAATCCTCATATTAGAGTGATTTCTGAAGGATCATGTGACACTGAAGACTGGAGTAATGATGCTGAACATTCAGCTTTGATCACAGGAATAAATTACACTTTACTGTATATTCACATAGAGAACAGCTGATTTACACTGGAGTAATATTACACTGTTTTACTGTATTTGATCAGATAAATGCAGCCTTGATGAGCAGAAGAGCCTCTTTAAAAAACATATTCCCAACCCCAACCTGTTAGAGTGTTCAGTCTGAGTTAATGGCAGTGATGTGAGGAGAGTAAAAAGAAGAGAAAGGGAATGTTTGAGCACACAGATATGTTGACGTCCAGAGCGTTTCTTCTCATCACTCATTATTCTCGCGTGAGGACACAGATGTGAGGGATTCTGCTGGAACGCCATCAAACTCCAAACCAACAGCCACAGGCTCCAGACGGGTCCGCTCATGTGTCCGCCAACTGTTGGGCTCGAGGAGACGGAAAGTTCTGCTCGTCGCGCTCCTGAACTCACACACGTCCATAAAACAGCAGATCGGGAGCTTCTGTGGAGCCGCCGTGGAGTTTCATCATCAGCGACTGAGAACACTCACACACAGGCGTCGATGGATCCACTTTAACATCCACAGAACCACCAAAGGTTCTTCATGGTGGAAAAAGGGTCTTTAGATTATTCAAATGTTTTTCACAGTAGGAAAAAATGGCTTTACTTGAAGCCTTTTTATACAATGCATTATAAAAATAAAAATAAATGGTTAATTGTCCCATGTAATGCACTGTATGATCGCATGAATATTTGTGACCACACGGTACTTGTCTGACTGCATTGTGCAAGTTCTGATGAGATCTGAGAGCTGTCTCACTCCTCCATAGGCTTCTATTGTA